AGCACTCGGCCTGCTCCCGGCCCTGCCACGGCCTGCTCTTTGCCGAGGCCGACCGGGAGGACTTGCTGAGCCTCCTGCGCTATGAGGGGGGGCTGCCTGAGACCAGCACTGAGACGCCCTTGGCCCGCTCTGACGTCCTGGCTGGGACCAACATGGAGATGCTGCAGACTCAGGAGGAACGGGCCACTGTGGAAAAGCCTGAAGGGCTAGAGAGGCCAGAGGGCTCAGAGGAAGCACCTTCTGGCAGCTGGTATTATGGAGAGGGGCTCTGCGAGGTCGACTCTGCCTGCAAAGGCAATCGAGACAGTTCCCCAGAGCCGGCCTGGGTGGCCCTGCCTCCTGCTCCAGCCCGCAAGGCAGAGCAGCCACCCCAAGGCGAAGTGACTGTGAGTGCCTCGTGCGCGGGCTGTGGCAGTGCAGAGTGAGCCAGGTCGTGCCCCTTGGCTCTGCTCCCTCGTGGGGTTTTTGGTGGGGGCATAGGGGAGCTGGGGATGTCTTTCCCTTGGGTCTTACAGGGCCTCACGCTGCTGAGGTGCCCAGACAAGACCCTTGGTACTGACTTTGGCTCCTACTACCCTGAACGCGGGGGGATACTTGCATGGCTGGCTGATCTGTGCATGCCCCAGGAAAGTGGCTGGTGGGTCTGAACAGCCCCCCAGGACCCTGTGCCCCACAGCCTCAGGACGCTGTGCCCTCGCTGTCTGGGTGCTGCAGGGGCAGCTGGGCCGCGGGTCGGGCAGGCTGAATCTCTGGATCCCACCCAGAGCCTGACCTGCTCTCTTGTTGCTTTACAGAACAGGGAACCCCCATCCTCCTGCCCAGCCTTCAAAGAGGGTGAGTTGCTTTTATGCTTGAGCAGCAAAAGCACCCAGGAGCCCTGACCTGCTGTTCACAGTCAGAGCAGAGTCCCAGCTGGGGACAGAGCACCCAGTTCTGTGTCCTTGCACGGTGGGAATATGGATACAGGCTCCAGGGGCTTGTTCAATCCCAGCTCGCCCTTCGCTGAGGGAATAGGAGTGCTTCAGGGATCGGGGAGGGGCATGCCCAGGCTTGGGAAGGGAGAAAGAGGGAAGCCAGGGTGTGCCCAGGGAACGGGGGAAGCAGCCCTGGGGTCAGGGTTGATTTCCCTGTCTCCCAAGTGCTGAGCTGCTTTGCTGTGTGTAGAAATGCAGCCAGCGGGCAGTAGGAGTTGGTACCCCAAGTTTTCAGCAGTGAGGGGACCAGACCCTGCATAGTCTCTCCCGATGCCTCAGTTCCAGGCCCTTGCGACCCAGAGGATCTGCTGGACGGTGTGATTTTTGGGGCAAAGTACCTGGGCTCCACGCAGCTGGTCTCGGAGAGGAACCCCCCAACCAGCGTCCGCATGGCGCAGGCCCAGGAGGCAGTGGACAGGATCAAGGTGCAGGAGGGTAGGGGGGCACAGCTGCCACTGGCCTGGCCCCTCGACGGCTTGGGGCAGTGCTCCCCTGAGGCAGGGACTCGGGGGAGTTCTGGCAGCAGCAGTGACCTCTCCTGTGCACTTGGTCCTGCAGGCACCGGAGGGGGAGTCCCAGCCCATGACGGAAGTGGATCTGTTTGTCTCCACGCAGAGGATCAAGGTGCTCACGGCTGACACACAGGTGAGGGGGGAACAGGAGCACCTGCTTGGCTTTAGGGCTGTGGAAACTTTTCTGCTTGGCCTTGGGATCTCTGCTTTGCACCCACGCTGGTGGGGTCACGCCTGAACATGGCCTACGGGGGAGGACACGCATCTGGGAGGAGACATGTCACTCCACAGCCATCCCACGCAGACGTGTCGGGTCCCTCGGCTGTCTGCGTGGCCACACGAGGCTTCTCATGCAAAAACTATGCCTTGTGGGAGCTGCTGGGTTGCCAGACCAAGCTCTAGGGAACCAATGCTTGAAATTTCTGTAGCCCTTTGCCTCAGGGTTAGTTTCTGCTTTTTAGTAAGAGGGAAGAGCTGCCTTGTCCCCTGGCAGCACCCAGAGACCCGCATGAGTCCTCAGTTGAAGGAGCTGTTTGTACCTCTTAGTGTAGATGTGGTTTCTGCCCAGTGGGTGCCAGGCATTTGAGCAGCATCCCAGCACGATGGCATTTGAACCCAAACCCTTCCTGCGTGTGGTAGTGCCTGGCTGGCTCGCAGGCTGCCCATGGGGTCCATCGGGCTGGGAAGAACTGAACATCTCTGTCCATGTCCCCCTTGCCAGGAGGCCATGATGGATCACTCCCTCCAGACCATCTCCTACATTGCCGACATCGGCTCCCTCGTGGTGCTCATGGCGCGCCGGAAACTGCCGCGGCGGTCGGAGGCAGCGGAGGAGAAGCGGCTCTACAAGATGATCTGCCACGTCTTCCACTCGGCCGATGTGAGGCAATGCACGAGTCCCTCGGGAGGGCAGGGTGGCCTTGGGGTCCCAGACCTCGTTCTGCCATAGTGACTGCGTGCTCTGGGTCTCTGCGCTTGGGACTCCCAACAAGAAGAGAGGGGGGGAAGGAGCCCAGCCTGAGCACCTCTGCAGTGTAGAGGAGCTAAGTGAGAGAAAGGGGGGACTGGCACTGTAAAGGGGACCATTTGGGCATGAAAGGAGCCAGGATGCCCTGGAGCTCCTGGGGCACTGTGTCTGTGCTGGGCATTGCAGGGCGCTGGCTCTTGACTCCAGTTTGGTCATGGGACCATTGGCCCTGAGCCATGAGCATGAACAGCCCCTCTCTTTCTCCAGGCCCAGATCATTGCTCAGGCCATCGGGCAGGCATTCGGCGTGGCATACCAGCGCTTCCTGGAGGCCAACAGCATCGACCCAAGTGAGCTGAGCCCTCGCCAGTACAGCCGCGCCCTTGAGGACCAGGAGCAGTACAATGCAGAGCTGACCCACTTCTCCCGACAGGAGAACTGCAAGGACGTAAGAGCTGCTTTGGAGGGGAGGGGACAGTGCGGGGTACCCGCTGGCACCTCTGTTTCTCCCCCTCCACAGCTCCCTGAGGAGCTGAGGTGCTCCCTACAAAACGGGGCCCCATCTCAGCTGGCTGTGAGCCCAGGCCATGCGTGCTGGGGCTGGGACATCGCTCTACAACTTCCTGAAATGAGGGTGTAGTGAATCACAGAATAACAGAATGGTTTTGGTTGGAAAAGATCCTTAAGATCATCGAGTCCAACCATTGAAGCAGCCCTAAGTCTGCCACTAGAGCCTGTCCCCAAGCACGACATCTTGCCTTTTAAGACAGGTACGTATGAGGTGGGGGTTGGTCTCTTCTCCCTGGTAGCTAGTGATAGGACAAGGGAAAATGGCCTCAAGTTGTGCCAGGGGAGGTTTAGGTTGGATATGAGGAGGAATTTCTTTACTGAGAGGGTTGTCAGGCACTGGAAGGGGCTGCCCAGGGAGGTGGTGGAGTCACCATCCCTGGAGGTGTTTAGAAGATATCGTGCTTAGAACATGGTCTAGTGGCGGTTTTAGTAGGGCTGGATCGATGGTTGGACTCAAAAGATCTTGAAGGTCTTTTCCAACCAAAACCATTCTGTGATTCTGTGTGCCCCACAACTCTGGTGACCGTAACCCGTCTGTGCCCTCCCAGGTCTGCATCCGGAAGCAGAAGGGGGAGATCCTGGGCATCGCCATCGTGGAGTCGGGCTGGGGCTCCATCCTGCCCACAGTGGTCATCGCCAACCTGATGCACGGGGGCCCTGCAGAGAGGTCGGGCGAGCTGAGCATTGGGGACCGCCTCATGTCTGTCAACGGGACCAGCCTGGTGGGGCTGCCCCTCACCACCTGCCAGAGCATCGTCCGGGTGAGCGAGGCTGCGCCCGCGATGGCCTCCTGCTTCCCTGGCAGGGAGACGGGGGCAGGCCTGGGAGCATCTGTAATGCCAGGGTGCTCCCAGCTTAGGGGCAGAGGGGACAGGAATCGAGGAGGGCAGACACATCCTGTGGGCTGGGACAGTTCCTGCTCTGAGTCCTTGGAAAGGAGATATGTGACAAGGCAGGAACAAAGCTGGGGACCAACCTTGCTGTGGCAGGGCCCTGCCTGAGGAGGAGTGTGGGTGAAGAGGCAGGCACATGTCCTGGGGGGAACCTGTTGCTGCCTCCCAGGCAGGAAGGAGCCCAAAGCAAGGACAGTGTGGCCTCAGGGGCAGAGGGGGATGTCTTGGACTGGAGTTATAAGCTCTTCTCCCTGGATTTGAGCATGGCAGTGTCCCTCTGTGTGCCTCAGTTTCCCCATTGAAAACAGCTTGCTAATCCTCAGCCCTCCCATGAGCAGCATGGCTGTGTCTCCCCTCTCAACCATGCCAAATAGCTCTCCAGAGTCTGACAAAGCCCCATCCCATCTTCCAGGAGCTGAAGCACCAGACAGAGGTGACACTGAACATTGTGCACTGTCCCCCCGTCACCACGGCTGTCATCCGGCGCCCTGACTCCAAGTACCAGCTGGGCTTCTGTGTTGAGAACGGCGTGGTGAGTGTCCGCAGGGACAGGAGCAGAGCCAGGCCAGGGTCGGCCCAGGGCTTCAGCCGCTCATCTGGCACAGGGACACAGGTCCCCTGCAGGGACAAGTGCACAGCTTTAGTGCTCCTTGTGCCTGCTAGGGCTCTGCTGTGCCACAGCAAAAGGCACTTTGTAGTTCTTCTGCATCGCTGGAGGTTGGAACCATCTGCCTTGTGCTCCCTAGCTGTTTGCTTTTGGCGTGGTGGTTTGTTGCTGCCTTCCTTGGCATGACCTTAGTGACATCAGGTGCTGACCCCAATGCCCCAGCCACTCCCTGCTCTGGGCTCCACAGTGGCTGTGTTGGAGAGGCAGGGAGGAGCATTTCCAATACCAGCTGGTGGGGTGGGCGGGCAGTGATGTCACGCACCAACCGATGTTCCCAACAGCACTGGGACATGGTTACCCCACATGCACAGGAGCTGTCCCCAGGGGAAAAGCTCTGGTTCTGGAGCCCAGGCTTGATGGGACCACGAGGGTTCAGTGGGTGGATGCAGGGAGCGGAGCTCTGTGTCAGCTGGGGGAACAAAACCTTCGGGCTCCCCTTGCCGTACAGCTCAGCACAAAGGACATCCCTGTCCTCGCTGCATGTCCACGGGCTGGAGGAGACAGCACCCAAGCCCAGAGCTCTTGCTGGGGACCTCGCAAGGATGAGAGAGTTTGGGGTGGTGGTTGCACCTGGCCCTGGGCTGTGGGCACAGCTTTGACCTTACCAGCACTCTTTGCTCCCCAGATCTGCAGCCTGATGCGTGGCGGAATCGCAGAGAGAGGTGGCATCCGCGTGGGGCACCGCATCATCGAGATCAACGGGCAGAGCGTGGTGGCAACGCCCCACGAGAAGATCATCCAGATCCTCACGCAGGCGGTCAGCGAGGTGAGCCAGGGCCCCTGTGCCGCGGGGCAGCTGTGGCCGCAACGGGAGCGGGCTGGGCTCAGGGGTTTGCCCCAGCACCCTCCAGCCCGGGGCTGGGTGTCTCCCAGCTGATCTCCGTGTCTCTGCCTAGGTGCACATCAAGACCATGCCAGCCTCCACGTACCGCTTGCTGACCGGGCAGGAGCAGCCTGTCTTCCTCTGAGCTGCTGGCCGTGCCCGGCTCTCACTGCACGGGCCAGGGCCAGGCAGGAGTGAGCCCAGGGCTGCAAGGGCTCTGCCTCCTGCCCCAGCACCCACTTTGGAGCCCTCTGGTCCCCAGCAGTGGCTAATCCTGCACCTCTTTGTTTTTACTCAGGACACAGTGGGAGACTTGGGGTGCCTGATGCCCAGCTTGCACAGTGTCAGGGCCTGTGATGCCGCAGTTTGGGCACTTCCTCCCCCTCCGTTCACCCCTCCCTGACTCGCCGTGCCTGCACAGCGCCTGTCCCGCTACTTCACAGGGCCCCTCGCCTTGGCCTGGTGCTGGCAGGGGAAGAGGGTCCCTGGGTGCAAGGTCACCCCCCGCCTGTAGTCACCACAGATGGTGCTTTTACACTCACCAATGGTGCCTTTCCCTGTGTGGGGATGGTGCTGGAAGCACAGCTCTGGGGCTCACCCCATTGCTGACCTCCACACTAGTGTGGGTGCACGCTTCCCCCTCCGAGGGAGATCCAGCAGCTCCCAAACTCAGCCTTAATGGCAGCAGCACCCTTGGCACCTCCTCCTCCTTTGCCAGGGGCCTGTTGGGGGTGCAAACAAACTGTTAGACCTGTAGCTGGGAAACTACCTCTGCTTTTCCCTGGTGCTGCCTTTATCAGCTCTGCATGCACAGCCTGGCCCCAGCCTGCAGGGCTCCCGGTCACAGCTCACTGCAGCGACAGGGACCATGGCACTGCCCAGTCCCACATCCCAGGGAGCCTGGGGACACAAACTCCAAGGACCAGCCCCTGGTGCTGTGCCTTTACATGAGTGGGGCTCTGGGACACTACAGCTGGGGCGGCGCTGACCTGACTGTGCCTGTGTGCTTAGTTGATGTAAAAATAAAAGTTTTTTGGGAATGTGGGAGGCTGCGTTTCAGGAGTTGGGCTGCAGCAGAGGAGGGTCAGCTCTGGGGCACACACCCTGAGCCTGCTGCAGTGCCAGATGTTGGCACAGCCTAAGCCTCATTCCCACGCTGATGCCACCCAGTGCACATGGAAAGGGCCCGTCCTGATCAAAACATCCCTTTTATTCCAGCAGCAGGGGCTGTGCCAAAAGGGTGAAGGAGGCACTTGGTGGTGCTGGATGGCAAAGGGTGCAGCAGGATTAGGTCCAACCCAGCCTGGCAGCGTGGTGCTGCGTGGCACTACCTGGGCTGTCACGTGGATACAGTGGCCCAAGGGGCCCGGTGGGACAGAGGCCAGCAGTGCTGCTACACATCTGTGGCTGGGCCCCACTCGTAGCCTTCATCCTCGTCTGACTCATCCCTGGCCCGTGTGAACCTCTTCCTCACAGCGTCGTGCTCGTATTCCCTGTGGGGTGAGAAGCTGTGGTGATGCCCTTGTCACCAGGTCATGACGGGTGGCACTGTGCCCTGCTGGACAGGGTCAGGCCAGGCAGAGCTGGCACTAAGGGCTGCGTAGGACCTTCCCCAGCCCTCCCATGCGCAGGGTACCTGATGCTGTCATAGCGCTGGCCCTGCCGCTGCTGCTCGAGTGTCTGTGAAAGACCAGAGAGATGGGGGGTCAGAGGTGGGGCTGGGATGGGCTGTGTTCCCCCATGGGAACGCAGTGGGCGTGGGTGCGCAGCTGGACCCTGCAGAAGCTGGAGGTGACCCCCTGCCTGTGCCACAGGGCATAGGAATTGGTCCCTGTGGCCAGGCACTGGACCACCCCCCCTCTGCCCCACCAACCCCTCGTACCGGTATGGGGGGATCCATGTGCTCGCTCACGCTGTGGCTTGGGGACATCTGTGCTGGCTCAGAGGAGCGCGACAGCCCGGGCTGGTCATAGGCGTCCTCCACCTCGCCGTCGGTGTAGGCGCCCGCCTCGCCGTCTGTGTCATCGTAGTCACTGTTGGCACGACTGTCGCAGGTCAGGTAGCCCGAGGCCGCTTTTTTCAGGTCCAGGCTGTCCTCCAGTGCCACATCTGCCTGCAGGGTGGAGACAACAGAGGTCTGGGTCCTCAGCTGTGGGGGGACGGGCGCACAGCCCCATCGCCTGCCTGGCTGCAGCCCCAGCAGGCTGAGCCTGGCCACAGGGACCCTGTGCCCTGTACCTGCTCTGCTGCTGTCCAGACAGGCTGGCTCTGCTGTGTCGTGATGATGTCCTTGATCGCCTCGTACCAGGCATTTCCACTGCCGCTGAGGCTGACGGTGGCGGTGAAGAGGTGGCTGCAGTGCTTCTTCATCTTGCTGGCCTGGGCGTAGAGGCGCCGGGAGCTTTTCCGGGAGTCAGGTGCCAGCCACTGGCGCATGGCCTTGATGCCCTGCCGGCTCTCGGGCTCGCAAAACACCACCACCGGGTAGTACTGCACATAATTGAGGCGCTCCACAGCCGAAGGCGTGATGTCCAGCAAGGCGTGCTTGTCCTGGGGCAGGGCATGGCCATCAGCCCTGCTATGGACAGGGACGGAGGTCGTGGACTCCCCCCCAGGCCCTGGCCCACCCGGCTCCGAGGACATGGGAAAGGTCTCTCACCTTTTCCGCAATCTGCCGCACCGAATCCAACTTGATGACCTTGGATGATGCCCCATCTCGGGGCATGCTCGCTGCAGGACACAGAGACATTACGTGAGGGGCTGATGGAGATGTGGCATCTCTGCCAGCCCTAGGCTGGGTCCGGTCTGCCTGGGCCCAGGGCTGTGTCCCTCAAGGGAGGAGCATGTCTGGGGCCTGGCAGGTACCATGATGCATGGGGAGGGGGTGAATGAGTCCAGGAAGGTGTTGGGGTGTCATGGGGAGGGGGCAGTGAGCAGGATCAAAGCAGAGCTGCAGGTTAAGAGCTCCCACAGGTCCCAGACACTGAGAGTCTGGCTGCTGGATACGATTCTCCCCGCAGCGTGGGAGGCACTTACGGGCAATCTCAAACAACTCAGGCAGCTCCATGCTCAGCTTCTGCATGGCAATGTCTGCGATGGGGCCCAGGATCACCACTGGCCGCTTGAAGCTGGCTGTGAGGAGAAGACAGAGCGGCTCAGGGAGCCCAGGGGCGAGGGCAGAGCTCGCAGCACCCAGGCATCCAGCCCCACTCCTCAAGTGCCTATGGGCCTGGGACTCGACCCATTCCTCCCGGGAGACTGGTGGACATCCCATGGGTGGGTCTGGGTGATAGGGACACAGCCCTGGTGCCCACCTTCCTTCAGGACCACCTGCTCGTATGGCGGGTAGCGGCCCTGCTTTGTGAGGGCAGACAGGTCCTCCCGGCTCTTCCGCAGCATCTTCTTGGCTCCCCGCAGGCCCCGAAGCTTCCAAAACTCGGCCCGTGCCCCCGAGGGATTGGCACCAGATGTGGCTTTCAGCACCGACTCCAGGCTGGCGATCTGTTCGGCCCTGGGAGGGGAAAGGGCTCAGGACCTGAAGCCTCCAGATTTACCCCCCACTTTGTCTCTCTGGGCTCCAAGGAGTATGGCAGGAGAAGCCTCTTCCCTCTGGGACCTTGGACAATCAAAGCATCAACTGCCCCATCACCTCTGAGAAGGGACTTCACCAGCTCACACATCCCTCTGCTGTTCCACCAGCCCTTGCCCTGTCTCTCACTGGGCCCACCATCCATGTCCCCATCTCACTGGGGAGCCATCACTTGGCTCTGCTCATCCTGGGGCCATTCCTGGCTCCATCTCTACCTGCTCCGGTTGGGGATGATGCCCTTGTCCTGCTCCTGCAGGTCCCTGCCCATGCGCACAGCCAGCCAGTTCCCCAGCCTGCCCCGGTACATGGTGTCCAGCACGTGGAAGACGTCCCCACGGACAAAGCTGAGCCCTGATGGCGTGTCCTTCTCGAAGTCAAAGTGTGTCCGGATGTAGAACGAGTCGCCCACGTTGGACGAGATCATCTTCCTGTAAACTGGAGCCCAGGGTTAAAGAGGTGGCTGAGGAGGAAGATGCTGGAGAGGAAGGTGCTGGAGCGATGTGACAAGGGGCTGGGCTGGCCAGGTGCCTCCACAGTAGCCTTTGCTGCTAAGAAGGACATTGGGGACAGCTTTTCCCACCATGGCTCTCTCAGGCATCCTGGAAACAGCAGGACCTGATCCCCCAAGCACACACTGGCCTCTCCAGACTGAGCTATGGTGCCAGAGAGCCCCCTTGCTCCAGGATGCCAAGGCACAAACAGGGCTGGGATGGTCTGGTCCCCTCCCATCACCTCTCTGGTGCTTGCTCAGAAGAGACAGAGGATGGAGGTGCACAAGCCCAAGATGGGTACAGTCATTACTCACTATCCTGCTTGCTCTGGGTCCACAATGTGATGTCCTCACCCGGCGGCAGGCTCATGAGATACTCCACAGCCTCCTCACGGGTCAGTCTCTGGAAACTGGTGTCATTCACCTGCCGCAGAAAAGCACTTAGACGTGGCCCTGCCAGTGGGATGCAGGGTGTGGGTACCAGCAGAGGTGCCAGGGATGGCAGCACCCAGGGCAGGGTGGGAGAGGGAACTGGTCCCTGTCATCCACGTGGCTGCCACAACCCCCAGTAACTCTGGGGAGGGCCTTGGGGCCAGCTGAGGTGGTGCCTGGACCCTGCTGGATCTTAGTGTGGTGCTGGAGACAGGACTGTCCCCTCAAGCAGTGCCCACAGTGCCAGCCCAACAGGTATGGGCCATGGGCACCAGCACTGACCCAAAACAATGCCCAACAGGAGAAATCCAAACCCCGAGGGGTATCAGACCCAAGGGTGATAGGACCAGTTCAGGTGCAGAAGCATTTGGAACTGTTCCCAGCCCCAGGTACCTGCAGGATCTGGTCCCCTTCCCGGATGCCCTGGCTCTCAGCTGGGCTCCCCTCCTGGACGCTTGACACAAAGATGCCCACGTCATTGCCACCGGCCAGCCGCAGCCCAATGCTCTTGGCCTTCACGAAGTGCACGACCCTGGAGTCAGCGCTGTATCTGCCATGGGAAAGCCACAGTCAGCCTGGTGGTGACATGATGGGGACAGCACAGTGGGACACCAACACTGTGACCCTAACCCTGCACCAGAGCAACTCCCCATCTCCCTGAGCCCTTCACCACCACCTCTTGCAGACGTACCCATCTTTGTGGGCAGCTTGGGCACGGGGACTGGCATGGGGGCCGTGGCTGCTATCCCCCTCCACAGCTTCCAGCAGGCCTGCAGGGAAGGAGGGCTTGTCCAGGAGGTGGCTGCGGGGGCTGAGCCACTGCCAGGGCAGCCAAGGTACAGGGAGCCCTGGCATGGTTCTGCCAGCGTGGTTTGGACAGCAGAGATACACAGGAGCCCAGAGCTCACTCACCAGATTCTCCAGCATAATCCACAACCGTGTCAGCTGCAGGGTCCCTCTTTGATCGCCTTCTCTCCCTGGAACAAAGTTGGGGCAGGATTTAGGCAGGGCATGGAGGCAGGCGCTGGGTGGGCACGGGCAGGCAGTGGCAAGGGGGCAGCGGGGACAGCAGAGCAAGCTGGGACTAAATGGCAGTCCCACCTCCAGGCTCTGGGGCAGAGAACCAGCCCCTCCAGACAGGCAGAGCACACAGGGGGATCTGACAGGGGAAAGAGGGGCTCATGGGGACAGCGTGGGGCTTACGGTGGTGAATTGATCCTGACGGCAGCTGGAGGTTGTGAGGACATCTCAGGAGATGGCGGATGGGACAGCTCAGAGTCGATGTCAGAGATATCTGCAGGATATCAACAAGAAGGAAGACGCGTTAATGACCATCCAGTCCCTGTGCTGTGTATTTGCCCCCAGTCCCCGTCCCCGTGTCCCCTCACCATCCATCCGAGAGCTGTCGCTCTGGCTGTCTCCTGTGTCTGGGATGTTGACCAGGAACTGTCGGTGGTCCCGGAGGACGAGCAGCGTCAGGATCCCCTCTGTGCGCTCGATGAGCTGCTGGGTGTCAGCCAGGGACATGTCCTCGCTGGCCACCCCATTGATCTGGAGGGGCAGAGCAGGAGGCCTCAGGGCACTTGCTTCTGGGAAAGCCGCCCCCAGGAAAGCCCCGCTCAAACTGGGGGCTCCATCTGCCACCTGCCTGGTCCCTTCCCAGCCCCTCCAGCCTGGGCCCAGGTCCCACAGCTTTGCCTATCCTGGGCTGTGTCCCTGTTCCTGGCTGCCTCCCAGTGGGGCCTCATCCTGCACAGAGGAAACAAATTAGTGAGGCTAATTAACTCCCACCTTTAGCTGCAGCAGAGCCCTGCACAGAGACAGACACTGCCTAAAGCTCAGTTTTAATTTGACCTTGGCCCAGCGCTGTCCTTCCACGCATGGGCCTGGTGCTGGGGAGCCAGGCCCCAAGTGGACCATGGGGCTGTGATGCCTCGAGGTGCAGCAGCTTTTCCCACCACCTTGCTGGGTTGAAATCCCTCCCATTTGCCCCAGAGTCGCTTTGGCCCCAGTTACCAACAGCAACTGGTCTGCCTGGCCCTCATGTGCAAATGAAGCATCTCCCTCCCTCTATTTCCCCCTCCCCCAATAATTTAAGCATTGTTTCCCCTGGCACACCCTGAACACCTGAGCTGCTCAGGTCAGCTGCTGCCCCAGCAGGGACATGGCAGGGGACCACATGCCGTGGGGACAGCGGGGCAGACGTGATCCCACAGGGGCAGTGGGACAAGACACCATCCCTGGCTGAATGCCATGGGGCTGCCTTAATGCCTTGGCACCAGAGAAGCTGGTCCCCAAGAGCCTGTGCTGGGTCCCTGGTGATGGCCGGGGCAGGGTGCAGGCACCAGACAGAGCTGTCTCCAGCCAAGCTGCCATCCTTTAAGCACGCTTTTGGCTTGTCCCCTGCAGTGACAGTAGCCAGGGACAAGCCACCAAAAGAGGGGTAGGCGAGATCCCCAGTGAGTGCTGTGTGCCCTGTGGGCCCCCATACCTTCAGGATGAGATCTCCCTCCTGCAAAGAGCCGTTCTTGGCTGCCAACCCGCTCTCCACTATGTGCTTGATGAAGAGCTGACTTCCCAGCTTCAGGCCATACTCTGCACCAGAGAGGGCCCGTGACAGCGCTGAAGCCAGGCAGACACAGGACCCCTCAAGGTGTCCCCTCACCACCATCCCCACATGCCCACTCTGGCTCACCTCGGGGCACTGACAAGCCCCAAAGCTGAGCCCTGCAACCCCAGGCTGAGGTCAGGCAAGTTTAGGGCACCGAGCACGGCACGCACTGCCCCCTAGCCACAGGCCAGACCCTGGCACCAACCCTGTCACCGCCTCCCAGGCGACAAGACCCAGGGACAGACGGAGCGGGAGGACCTCACCTTCGTTCTGCTTCTGCTTCACCAGGACCGACGTGATGGGCTTCACTGGCACATCCCGCTGCGGCAGCCGCTTGAAGCCCGACACCAGGGCCAGCCCGTTGGTGTCCCCTTCGTGACCAAAGCCATTGGCGGAGCGGTGCCGGCTGTAGCCCCTCTGA